TTTTTTTTTTTTTTTCTTTTCTTTTAAAGTCTATTTCTAATGCCCTTATCTTGTATATTTGCAACGGCTAATGTTCATAACATTTACGCCTCAGAAAATGCTTCAGCATCATTAATATCCAAGATGGAAACCCAACTGCTCAGCTAATAATCAAAATCACTAGATGACATCAAGGTTAACTGACCTAAAAATCTACTAAAATCCACAGTTCAAGTTCTAGCCAAGAGATTAAACAACATATGAAGAATACAAACACAACGATCCCAAAAATCATTACTTTCTTCAGTATCAGGGCACGCAATTCAACACAGACAAACATAAAAAGGACCCAAATTTTTCATGGATGACACAAAATAAAAAATCTTTTCATCAAAGCGAAAAAACTATGCAACAAAAATAACAACAACAAACATAAAATTTCATAGCATACCATATTTACTGTATTCCAGATGACAGCAATACGGGGAAACAGTACTAATCGATCAGCTAACAAAGCTAAATAATACTTTCAATTGAAAACTTCTCCACGCCCTTTCTTTTACGTTCAGATCCGCAACACAGTAGAGTTGAAGGATTTGAATACTTTGAACTGCAGACTATAAGCCAGGGATTCTTATCGAGATTTATCGGCTATGAAAGGAATAAGGAAACAGATTTGTGTTGGGCACAATAGGAATAGGAATATATTATTTATTTTAAATAATATGGTTTTATTGTTTACGAAAAAATTTTAACATCTTTGTTACATTTTTTTTTTTTATTTTTGGTAAGACATTTTTTTATTATTATTATTTAAGATAATGTGATGTTAGTAATTAATCTAAATCTATTGATTAAAACTTCAAACTTTTTCAATTAATTATTTTATTTCTACATAATTTAATTTAATTTTTATTTTTAGCAATGTGAATCAATAATTTAAAATTAAAATTTTTCTAAAATTTGCAATCAATTATCTCATTTCTCATATAAATTTTTATTTGATTGTAAAATATACTAGATGATTCCTGTTGCGAATCAGCACAACCGACCTATTTATTCTTTCGATGTTACGGGCTTTACATCTTATTAATTATATAGATATGCGCAATGGGCAACATAATAAACACGATTGGATGAGAATAACACGTTACTTAGGAAACAAGATTTGGTATTATGGGTATTTGAGTGGTAAGATTGGACAAATATGGAGCAACGTAGGCACTCGTGCAACGAGATGGAGCAGATCTTAGTAATGATTATATATTTATATATATATAGGAGTGATGTATGATTCATCTTTCTTACAATATCTAAACATTTTAAGCTATTATATACCATACAATTCCACTCTTGAAAAACTGAAAAGTCTCGAAACATCTATGTCGGGACAACTCGTAACCTGTTTTGCAGGTCATTCTAACGGTTTAAAGACAATTCAAAGGCGTTGAATTGCCGAGGTTGTTTTACACCGATTTAGCTATGAAGCCAATAATTGGCTCTATAGTGGAGTCAATCTTCTATATACAGTAAATAAACCTACCATATTAATAAAATTATATTAGTGTTATTTAAGTAATCAGAGAATATGGTAAGTTTATTTGTTGTATATAAAAGGTTGGCTCCACTATGAAGTCAACTGTTGGCTTCATAGCAAAACCGTGTTTTACACCCCCACTACATCTTTTTTGCTCTAAAAACAACTTAAATTAACAAATTTTCTTTAATGAACTATTACTAACTAAACTGCGAGATGATATTTTTCGGAAAACCAACAACTCGAAAAACTACACAAACAAGACGTGAACAAAACAGAAAAATTATTATACAGTTGCCAACAAAACATAAAAATTAAATATTTTCCAGATTATCATCATAGGTACTAAAGCAGAAAAATCACAAGAATTATTATAAACTTCAACCAAAAACTCCAATTAAATGCTTCCTCAAGAACATATATACAATGATCCTTTTCTAATCCCAAAAAAGATTAATACATAGCAGTCATATATTAATATATATCAACAATCTTCTCTATATACTTTTGTCACACTAGCTCTGACCTACTAAACTCGAACTCAATTTCTGCTCGAAAAACTTGATTTTCTTTGTCGGATGATCATGATAAACTTCTTCTCGTCTTTTTCGATTGTCGACCCTAAGTTTATTTGGAAGAGCTAAGGATGTCAGCTTCTTTAACATCACGTCGTCAAAGGAGCTGATTTCTTGGATGACACCTATAGAGAGATCATCACAAGTGTTATTCATCTTTTCTTCTTTTTACTTTTTGGGTTTCTTTTCTTTTCTTCTTCTTCTTTTTTTTTTNTATGAGATGAACCTTTTTTGCCGTGCATGTGTTCAAGTATTTATAGAATAGAAAATTTGGGGTTTTTGCGTTTTCTCCTTTTAGGATAGGAATAGGATTCGATTCAAATTGTTGTGCGTGTTATTAATTACTTTGCATGCAAGTTTTTGACTTTTGACTTTGAGGCGGTTTCCTTTTTTCCTTTATTGGAAATACTGGGCCCGGCAAGTGTTCTATTGGGTCTTTCAAGTGGGCTTTCTTTTTTAATGTTGGCCGAGAGTGAAATGATCTTTTTACATATTGATAAAAAAAATATATATATATATATATAATCTTTTTACATATTACTTACACTTTTTGGAATTTTTTGAAATACTACATTCAGAATAAAATTATAAATAAACTATTCATAAAAAATATAATCTATAAATCAATGATAAATTAAACTCTAAATCACTCATAAACCGTGAAAACATATACGTGTAATTTATGGGTGCGTAATTTTTTGTTTTAACAATGGAGATTTTAGTAACTGGGCTTCAATTGAGCCTTTCTAGTGGGCTTCTTTTAATATTGAACAAAGCCAGGGACTCTAAGATGGGCCATAAACTAATCTGTTACTCGGCCCACCTCCACTGCTCGTCAATAAATTCAAAGTTCGCGCGCTTTTCATGAAATCAATAAGTTAATTACAAATTTAAAATTTATTCAGCTGAGAGATTTTCTATACACTGACGAATCATAGTTCTCTCATACACAGCTACACACGTACATACAAATTAAGATAATATTGAAAATTAAGAAAGATCACTCTTTTTGCTTTTCAGCTTCTGATTTTCGGCGTGAAACATTCCCAGAAAAAGATTAATGAGAGGATTGTGGAGGTTGGGAGGGATTTGTGTTGGGCGGGTTGAAATATTTCCTCGGAACCGGAGGAATCGGTGGCAGCTGTGGGACCGGAGGCGGTCTGGGGATCGGATCGGGTTTTATCCGGTCCGGAGGAGGCAGGGTCGGGTTTTCAGGTTCGGGTGGCGGTGGGTTGTGATATGGGCTCGGGTTTTGGCTCGGGCTTGGGGCAATTGCCTTTCGAGGCTTTGATATTGGAGCTGGTGCAGGCGTTGGTGGGCTTTTGCTGTGCGTGGGCGTAAGGTGTGGGCCCGGAGCCACTAGTGGGGATTGGTAGGATTTTTTCCCGTTTGGAGGAGTTGGGATTGGACTTCCGGGCCCGGGACGTAGTGGGTCATGAAACGGGCTCGGATTTGGGCCCGTGCTTGGGCTTGGGCTTGGGCTTGGGCTTGGAGTGAGTGTTGTCCGATGTTTTGGTACTTGAATTGGTGTAGGTGCTGCTAAGTGAGGTTTTTTGTGGTTTGTGGGAGGGTAAAAAGGAGGAATTGGGTTTTGTAGGTAAGGTGTTTGATGAAATGCCTTTGTTGGCGGGTGAGTAGATTCTCGGTTTTGAGGTGGTGTTTTTGGTGGTTGTATTATAAACGGTGGAGATATTAGCTTGTTGGGTGGGGGAAAATGTGGTGGATTGTTATATATTGGGATAGGTGATGGAGATGGACTAACGGTTTTTGAGTTTCTTTGAGTTTTTTCCGGGCTTTGGAAAACTAAGGGGTTGTGGGGCATCAAAACTGGCGGGCTCGGGAGAGAAAGAATTTGTGAAGTGTGGGGAAATATGAACTTGGGCTTTGGTGTAAAAAAGGCCGATTGGCATGTTTTGGGTGAGAATTTTAGTATTATTGAGCTGTTGTGAGCTTCTTGTGCTGTGTTGTGATTGGTGGTGTGGAATTCGAGAGATGCGGTTTGGGTAGTTTTCAAGGGGCATTTTTCAAACTTTGCGTAACAATTATCAATCGAGTATCCATCTTTTGTTGTGTTGTGAGCAGATAGAGTTATGTTGAATTTGCCTTCTGCATCGACTGGTCCGATTCCCTGTATACTTGTGTCGGTTTTTCCAGAATCTTCGCAGTGTATGAGTAAACGGAGCCCTGCATGGATTAAAGGAGAATATTCGTAAAGATAGAAGCGCTTTTGTGGGGACTCGTAAGGTATGTACCATTTTACTGTAGTTTTTGAATAATATGTCCTGTCTGTGTTGTATACCCATGTTAAACAGGTTCTTGACTAATAGATGCATTTAAGAGATGGTAAAGAGCTTGATATATATTCCAAGTAGTGCTATAATTGAACCGAACGAGGCGAGCTTAACTATTTCGAGCTCGATTATTATTAGAAACAAAAAAGTTCATGTTCGAGCTTGTTTGTTTATTTGTTCGTGTTCGACTAGTTTAATAAAATAAAAAAATTACTAGAATTTTTTTGTTAACTCAATTTTAACTCGTTCGAAATCGTTCGAGCTTGAATATAAAAATTTGGTTCGTTTACAGCTCGTATATCATAAAAATTTGGTTTTCAATTAGTAAACGAACAAGCTTTAGTCGAACTCGAATGGCCTTTTGTTCCCGAAAATTTGGTTAGTTTACAGCTCAAATGCCAGGTTCACCTAAATTCTATAGCAGTAAAACTACCTTAGTTTGTTAAACATAAACACCGAGTGAAAATCAGGGGTTACCAACTACTAGGAGAGCAAGCCATAAAAGAAAAGTATATAAGGGAACATATAACAAAAGCAAATTGGAAAAACAATGAAAAAAAATAAATGCCAAATTAATTGATAGTAAAAGTGATGAAAATAATAATACCGGACGATGCCCGGCTGCTGATGCTGCTAAACTCGTGCCTGATGCAATTTTCGCAATGTATTTGTCCGAATACCTTAACAGTCAGGTCCTTGCTGTGGCAGAAGCTTAAAGATAACAACAAGAAAACAAAAAATCTCAAGGGCATAAAGTGAAATGCCATTAACAACTTAAACTGATTTTATAGTGTTAACACATCTAAGTTTGCAAACACAATGTAACTTCTCATCATATTTGACAGACACTGAGAGTGCTGATCTATTTATACAGGCAAAGATTTCTAACCAATAGGTGTAACATGCCAATTTCATTTCATTTATTCTTTTTATGTTTGTGAATGATAGTTTGATGTCCCAGTTGTATTTACTTCTGTTACAGAAAGAAGTAAAGGTAGTGGCAATGGCACCGACTTTGCGGGTAGGAAATCTTGTGCATTTTGAATACAAATCTCTGTTCTTTTTTCTCCTTGTTTGGGAGATGGGATATCACAGCCACCCCCTTTAACTACTAATAAATAGGATATATTGTTAGGTGTAGCCCGGGAAAAAATTAAGAGTGTTTTTATTATTATTATTATTATTATTATTTCTTACACCGTTTAGGCCGAGCTCATCAAGGTTAGTAGGTTAATTGTTTAGACGTTTATATTAATACAAATAAAATTTTTTATACCTATATTTATTTCTTGTTATAGGAAGAAAAATAGTTTTACTTATTTTGTTCAATATATATTACTCATTTATTGTATAAATTTTTTTCATGTTTAATTTTTAATTATTAAAAAAATGATAGAGTTACTCCTTTTTTAGTCTGTATATTGCTTCGTTTTTTACTCTTGCAAAACTGTTAGTGTGAGCCTATTTAACATCTCTAGTTAGGTGAATAAAAATATAGTAACAAAATTGATACTTCATTGAAATATAAAGACCGAAAACCATCAGTTTGAGCTTGAATAAAAATATAGAAATGTTTGGTTGTTGAGCTCTAAGAATTAGCAGCAAGTGCATCACAAAATAGTGAATTATTTGAGAGGTTTATTCTTTCATCATAAACAAAATGTCTTTAACTTATTGAATTTATTCAAGTCAGTAAGCATATAGCAATTGTGATTTGAGATATAGTTATGTGATTATATCTTTAATCAACCAGATGAATATCTTACTTGAAACTGAATGAACAATTCTCAAGAGTTGAGAGCTACATAGCCTACATTTTAGATTAACCCATGGGTGCTCTAATCCCTTGTCAACAAGCTTTATTGATTTTTTTTTTTCATGTGAATCTATCATGTCATTCTTGAAAGCAGAAAACAGAAAATTTCCTCAAGTTATTGTAGTGAAGCTAAAAATTCATTGTCACAATCTTATCACACACCTAAACATATGAAATCTGGACTTTGGTGTAAATTATTAGATACTAATTAAACAATCACTAATTAATATGAAGGATAAAATACATACACAGAATTTAGATAAAGATTGTGCAAAGTGAAGTTACTATTTAGATGAGTGATAATTTTGTAGAGATTGACATAAATGGTTCATTGAGCTGTCTAGACTAATAAACTTAGACAACTGTCTTCTTAATTAGTTCACCCTTTGCTATCACAGTCATGGGGCAGCCATTTGCATGTTCTGCTATTTATTGCTAATAAAAATCTCTATGTTTTTCTGTACTGACAGAAAAATGCCTTGTTCCCTGTTATAAATTTAAATCTTTTAAAGTTTTATCCTGGGTGCAACATAACTTTGACTTAATTGCATCTGCTAGAAAATTACCAAATTCCAATCAAAATACATTCCAAGTAATTTCAATGAATATTGTAATGTAGTTGGAAAATTCCAACGACTTGAATTTTTATGTTGGGTTTTGTCCATTTTGACGATAATGTTTCTAACTGTTGAAATTATTGGTGGGAGAAATAATTACAAAGAAAATTGTATATTCCAACGGAAATTCCTAGAGTAATAAACTACTATAAAATATGCTATTGGAATCATCAAAATTCCAACTAGAATTCAACGAATTTTAATTTCAATGGAAGATTTTAGTTTTAAACCTTGATTGGCATGTCTTTCTAGCAATGTTATAACATTGGAATATCAGTAGGAATTTTTGTTGGAATATTTTTCTATGTTGAAATTTGATATTATATTGTAGTGCTTTGCTTGAATTACTTGATCTTGTTCATTTTTACCAGTACTCCTTGGTGCCAGAAGTGTTATTGTTGAAACGGACATGCACGTTATAAAA